ACCCCTGCTGTACTTTACTTAGCCTCAGTTAATCAAGTATTATAAGTAATTCCAATTCTCGCTGAAATCATCCAGTACCAACCTGAGGGGATCCAAAGACGACAGTTCCTTCAAGAGATTTGCGATGAACTCATTCTGCAGCTTCGTGTCGTCCTTCAGATACATTGTTGTTTCAAGCTGGAATAAGCAGGTTTTATGATGAAGGTCTGTCTCTTACTAAGGACTCCTGCCATCAATGCCACCCCTTCCCCGTGCTCGCAACCGAGCACTTCGAGAGCAACGGCGAGATGGATCAGCAAACAATGGCAGAAGCCGTTCACTGAGAAACCGATTAAGAAAACATAATCGGAGTTTAGGGCTAATAAGGTGATACTGTTCCGTCTGACTACGCAAAATAGAGAAAAAGGCAGGTCCTTTCAACCCACTGGAATGGTGGAATGCACTTTCCAGGACAGATTCAAGTGTACAATCTACGGATGAAGGACGAAAAGAACCAAAATTTATCACATTTACGCCACAACTATACCTTGTGCCTTACTTCAGGTTTGGATGAATCTTTTATATCCTAAAACAACTCTCTGTAAGGAAGACGCTCAGAACAATCGGTTTCGAAATAAGAAATCATCCGGTGAAGCTACTCACGTCTGCCACGATTGATGTGCTCAAATCTGCCTCATTGGTCATAGACAGAAGTCTGGACGAGCCGTTGAGGAAATGGGAAATATTCGGTGAATTACACGAGAGATTGGCCGATGTCGCCATTGGTCCCATCATACCACGATTATCCACAAAGTCGGTGATTTGGGCGGACATGTCGGAAATCGCGTCACGTACTGGGGCTGCAGATGGAGACCTCGGTACTATGCCGTCACTGAAAACGGTCAGCATATTCACTAATATGAGAATTTTGCTGGAGAATATTTTGGAAAGATGGAAAAATGAAAAAAAGGCAAAATACATCCAAACACCGCCGACATTGAGCAATATGAGACAAACTAAAAGTCCGCTGATCCATTTTTCGATATGAATACAAGAATAGAAGGGGAGCAGAGCAAGCCGTGCACTGATGATATTATTGTTAATAACGACACTATTTCTCATTCTGAATCATTTTCTCTCTACTGTTGGATACCACATGAATCGCTCCTTGAGATTAACGCCAGTAACGAAAAAACGGAGAAACCGTCGGCAAGACCGGAAGTGAAATCCCCCTCTCCAGTAGCGGCAAGGCGAAATAGCACTGATTAGAAGGTGGGGTTAGAGGTGTTGGACAGGTCAAGGTTGCATCCTTAGACCTTAGCACTTCGACCTTGTCAAGCGATCCCGATATTTGTGTACGTACCCCCGCTTGCGCACCACTGCATTTTCCTCAAGAGAAGGCTCAATTTCGATCAGAAATCACAGACCTTGAGACCGCCGTCACACTCGGCGACGGACAAGCGATGGAGCGATCGCGATCGCTCCATCGCTTGTCCGTCGCTTGCCAATCGCTCTCCGTCGAGCGATTGGCAAGCGATTGCGCAATCGCTTGCAAAGTGCACAAGCGACGGGCGATTGGCCCCGCCCCCAGTCAATGCAGTCGGCTGCGGTATCGATCGAGCAGAGCCATTGCCCGTCGCTTGTGCACTTTGCAAGCGATTGCAAAAATTAGAATCGCGATCGCTCCATCGCTTGTCCGTCGCCGAGTGTGACAGCGGTCTGAAACTTCCTCCACATCTGGACAACGCAATTCCGCAAACGCTTCTGTCAGCCAAGCCCACTGCACTGCACTACTCTACCGTGAATTGGAGTGAACAAATATATTCGCATCCTGTCGTTATAGTGTTATTATTACTCAGCAATTAACATAGCAAAACTTGTTTGTCTTACAGAGAATAATTCAGGGCTGAAGGGGCAAATTCAGTACTTTCGTCTAATCCCATTCCTTTTTCCCCACTGAAGATACATTCTGCACCTCCACCTTCATTTCCTAGCGACATAATAACACCAGCTTGAGCGTGAAAAACGCCTTTTTGATTTTCATAAAAATAAAAAGTAAATCAAATCCAAGTAACAAAAGCATCGAAATTTATTACACACCCCATTATGGGGCAAATTACGAATCCCATATTTCACAATATCTATGATTCGTTCCCAACGTTTTTCGTCATGAAAATTATTCTTTAAGTCGTTCGTGTCACTTATTCCTTGAGTCATTCGTGTAACGAAGTTCTCGTCAGCCTTCGCAAATATTACTACGTATATATTCCTTTTGAAATAGCATTTCTTCAGATACGCTTCGGTACTGCTTTGAGATTCACTCAAGAGACTAGAAACTCAGAATCGACAAGATGAGAAGTAGAATAATTAGGGGAGAAAAACATAAGCGAAATGCGCCGAAAATGCCGATACGGCAAGAATTCAAGTCGTGGTGAATGGCGCAGTTATGTTCGAGCTTCTAGTCTAACATGCGCTACAAGGAGGCTTAGAACTACTGAAAGGAAAAAAAGAAACGGGAAAGTGCAGCTCAAGATATTCGAAATGAGATAGAGAAAAGAGGGATTAGAGATGAGTCCAATCTTCGGAAGATCAGAAGTATATTTCAGAAGCAAAAAGGCCGAAAAGCTTCGTGAGCAAATGGCGCATGAGCGGAGAAGTCACTTCGGCTACAGCTATGCATACACAATTGGTAGAGAAAACATGCGCAGACATACTGACAACCACGCACACGCAGCTTTGCCTAATGCGCCTCCACTTACTAAAAGATGAAGCAATTCTTCCTATTTCGTTGAAATTCCATTATCGCTCTATCACGTACAGTTACTCGAAATATTCAAGGCTACAGCTAGGAAACCAGACAACTTTTTGCTATAAACTTTGTTGGAACAGTCTTCTCCGTTTTTGCTCCCTATCGGTGTTTTACTTGTTCTGAAGTCGTCTTCTACGTGAGATTCTATGTTTTCCAATAAACTTCCACATCAGAACTGTCGAATCACGCTAGCGTTTTCACATCTTATGGATAGCACACAACGATTCATCCCAGAAGTGACCACGATGCGATGAAATGGTTTTTAAAGGAAGGAACACAAGAGTGTGCGTTCTCTTTCTTTTTTGTATAAGCCTTTTTTTCTAACACTAGGCCAGGACTTCCTCAAACTGCACCTTCCAAAGGAATTATTTTCATTGAAGCCACTCAGAAAACGGGCTTCATTTTAGTAACTCCACGCAACCCCTACAAAACGCAGAAGAAATTATTTTGCTGAAACTTTAAATTTCTATTATTCCTGGGACAATGGATGCACCTTTTATGAGCCTGCTAACTAATCCAAGCCAGTATTAAAAAATTAGAAAAAAAAACTCAGATCGAACACCTTGACTAAAAAGACATTTCTTTTTAGCTACGTTCTTACCTTCCAACATTTGTTTAATTGCAGAACTACATTCATTTTACTTGATAATTAGTGCGACAATAATTCCGAAATTCGCCATTATTGCACTCTCTAAGACAGGGTCGGTCCTACGTTGCTACAAGTAGCAACGGGGGGGGTCGTACTTTGATGAGTTTTTAGGGGGGGGTCGTACATTTTGATGAGTTTAGTAGAGGGGGGGTCGTATATTTTGATGAGGTTGTAGAGGGGGGGTCGTACCTCTGCTTGACCTTGTGAGAATTGCATGGGGTGAGGGAGGGAGTGGCGCGGATATACCCCCCTCCCTAGAAAATGAAGCGTGGGATTAAAGGTAGGAGGGGGTAAATCGGGGGAAGGGATTTAGGTAATTTTTACGGTTTCAGAGTGACTATATACCCCCCCCCCGCTCGACGGCATTTTTGGAGGAAAAAGTGGGCGGGGTTTTCGTGGGTCGAGTGATACCAGAATGAAATACTATAGCGAGGAATATGGTGGTCGAGGGTCGAGAAGGGGGTCGTACCAAATCCACCTTTGGGGAGGGGGGTCGTAAAAATTTTTCGAAAAGTAGCAACGATAGGACCGACCCTGCTCTCTAATCAACTGCAGTAGGTGAATGCAGAACATGGAACAAAACTAGTGAA